GAACCGGGTGGAGGGGAGCTATGGGGGGGGGGGGAAAAGAGGAACAACTGTAATAATCTGAACAATAAAGATTTAATTTAAAAAACAAAACAAAAAAAATAAAAAACAAAATTACTAATAAAGGTGAAATCAGGAGTTTCACAAACAAAAAAGGCCAAGGGAGTTTATTAACACCAACCCAGTAATACTAAAGGGACTGCTGTAAGGAGAATAAAAATAAAGAGAAGAAGGAGCACAGGAATTAAGAATAAAAATGTCAAAAAAAAGTACCTATCAATAATAACCTTAAACATAAATGGATTAAATGCTCCAATCAAAAGACATAGGGTAAGTGAATGAATAGAAAAACATGACCCAGATATATGATGTCTACAAGAGACACACCTCAGAACAAAGGACTCACACAGACTAAAAGTGAAGGGATGGAAAAATATTTTCAGATAAATGGTAATGAAAAAAAAGCTGGGGTAGCAATACTTATACCAGACAAAGTTGACCTCAAAGTGAAGTCCATAACAAAAGATAAGGAAGGACACTTCATCATAATAAAATGATAAATTCCATAAGAAGCTATAACTCTGATAAACACATATGCACCTGATACAGTAGCACCCAAATACATAAATATTCTTCTGGAAGATATCAAGCGAGATACTGACAGCAATACAATCATAGTATGGGACTTTGATACCCCATTGACACCACTGGGTAATCCAATAGACAAAATATTAGCAAAGAAACAGCAGCCATAAGAGACTCACTATATCATATGAAGTCAATTGACATCTTCAGAGCACTTCACCCCAAAGCTAAGGAATATACATTTATCTCAAGTGCACATGGGACATATTCAAGGATAGACCATATATTGGGACACAGGCTAAGTCTCTACAACTTCAAGAAGATTGAAATCATATCAAACATCTTCTCAGATTACAATGGCATAAAATTAAAAATCAACTAAATAAAAACAATAGAAAACAAACACCTGGAGGCTAAATAGCATGCTATTAACAATGAATGGGTTACCAAAGAGATCAAAGAAGGAATAAAAAACATCCTGAAAAGAAATGAAAATGAAAACACAAAAATCCAAAATCTGGGAGACTCAATGAAAGCAGTCCTTAAGGGAAAGTTCATAGCACTAGAGGTCTACCTCAAAAAAAAAAACAAAAAAAAAAAAACTGGTCATAAGTTACCTAGTCCTAAAACTTACAGAATTAGAAAGAGAGCAACAAAAAACATCCAGAGTAAATATAAGAAAGGGAATAATAAAGATCTGAGTGAAAATAAATGACATAGAGACAGAAACAGTACAGAAGATCAATAGAACCAAGAGCTGGTTCTTTGACAGGATAAACAAGATTGATGAACCTCTAGCCAGGCTCAATAAGCAATAAGAAACAAAGAGAGAGGACCCAAATAAACAAAATCAGAAACAAAGACATGTAATAACAACTGATTCCACAGAAATACAAAGGTATATAAAAATATTATGAACAACTTTATTCCAACAAACTGAACAATCTAGAAGAAATTGACATATTCCTAGGAAAATATAATCTTTCAAAACTCAATCAGAAAGAATCAGAAAACCTGAATAGGCTGATAACTATTGATGACATTGAATCAGTAATCAAAAAATTTCCAGCAAACAAAAGACCTTATCTGGATGGCTTCACAGGGGTATTTTACCAAACATTCAAAGAAGAAGTAACACCTATCATCCAAAAAATTCAGAAAGAAGGAACACTTCCAAGATATTTCTATGAAACCAGTATTACCCTAATCCCAAAACCCAATAAAGACACTACAAAGAAAGAGAATTAGAGGCCAATATGCTTGATGAACATAGAAGCTAAAATCCTCAACAAATTATTAGCAAATCACATCCAGCAATTCATTAAAAATATCATACACCATGACCAAGTGGGATTTATTCCGGGGATGCAAGGCTGATATAATGTGTGAAAATGAACAAACAAATTGGAAAACAAAAATCACATGATCATATCAATTAATGTAGAAAAAGCATTTGACAAAAGCCAACACCCATTTTTTATAAAAACTCTGATCAAAGTGGGAATAGAGGGGTCATACCTCAACATAATAACCACCTTATATGACAAACCTATAGCCAACAACATACTTAATGGTCAAATACTAAAACTATTTCCCCTATGAACAGGAACAAGACTGGAATGCCCACTTTCACCACACCTGTTGGACATCATATTGGAAGTGCTAGCCATATCAATCAGATAAGAAGAAATAAAAGGCATCCAAATTGGAAAAGAAGTAAAACTCATTATTCACAGATGACATGCTATTGTAAATAGAAAACCCTAAATACTCCATCAAAAAAGGACTAGATTTAATAAATGAATTCTGTAAAATAGCAGGATACAAAGTCAACATCCAAAAATGGATGGCTGTGTTATACACCAATAATGAAGTCACAGAAAGAGAAACTAAGAAACCAATCACATTTAGCCTTGCAACAAAAAATTAAGATACCTAGGAATACACTTAACTAAGGAGGTAAAAACCTGTACTCTGAAAACTACAGGATGTTGCACAAAGAAAATAGAGGAAGATATAAATAAATGGAAGAATGTACTTTGTTCATGGATTGGTAGAATCAACATCATTAAAATGTCCATACTACCAAAAGCAATCTATAGATTCAATTCAATTCCCATTAAAATACCAATGGCATAATTCACAGACCTAGAACAAACTCTCCAATAATTTATATGAATAAAATAGGACCCCAAATAGCCACAGCAATCCTGAGAAAGAAAAACAAAGTTGGAGGGATCACAATACCAGACATCAAGTTATATTACAAAGCCACTGTTCTCAAAAGTGTGTGGTACTGGCACAAGAACAGACATATAGACCAATGGAACAGAACAGAGAACCCAGAATCAACCCAAGCCATTATGATCTAGTAATATTTAACAAAGAAGGCAAGAGGATAGAATGGAGTCAAGATAGTATCTGCAATAAATGGTGTTGAGATAATTGGACAGATATATGCAAAAGTGAAACTAGACCACCAACGTACACCATATACAAAAATAAAATAAAAATGGATAAAAGTCTTAAAGGTAAGATGTGAAAACATCAAAATCTTATAAGAATCCATGGGCAGCAAAATATAAGACATATATCATAGGAATATGTTTACTGATATATTTCCTAGAAAAATGGAAACTAAGGAGAAAATAAACAAATGGGACTACATCAAAATAAAAAGCTTCTGCACAGCAAAAGAAACCATCAACAAAACAACAAGTGAGGCCACAACATGGGAGAACATATTTGCCAATGTTACAGATGATAAAGGTTTAATCTCCAAAATGTATAGGAAACTCATACTACTTAACAAAAGGAAGATAAATAATCCAATAAAAAATGGAAAAATTACATAAATAGACACTTTTTGAAAGTGGACATACAAAAGACCAAGAGGAATATGAAAAAATGCTCAGTCACTACTCATCTGAGAGATGCAAATCAAAATGACAATGAGGTATCATCTCATACCTGTTAGAATGCCTATCATCAACAGATCAACAAATGACAAATGCTGGAGAGGATGTGGAGAAAAAGGAACACTCATGCACTGCTGGTGGGAATGCAGACTGGTGCAGCCACTATGGAAGACAGTATGGAGTTTCCTCAAAAAACTAAAAATGGAACTCCCATTTGACCCTGTGATCCCACTTCTAGGAATATATCCCAAGGAATCAGAAACACCAGTCAGAAAGAATATATGCACCCCTATGTTCATAGCAGTGCAATTTACAATAGCTAAGGTTTGTAAACAGCCAAAGTTCCCATCAGCAAATGAGTGTATTAAAAACCTGTAGTACATCTACACAATGGAATACTACACTGCTGTAAAAATGAAAAACACTCTTATAATTTGCAACAGAATGGATGGACCTGGAGAACATTATGCTAAGCGAAATAAGCCAGTTGGAGAAAGATAAATATCACATGATGTCATGCATTTGTGAAATCTAATGAACAACATAAACTGATGAACAAAAATAGATCCAGAGACAGAAAAGCATTGAAAAGACCATTGATCCTCAGAGGAAAGGCAGGGGAGACTGGGACGGTGGGTAAAAGATCAACCAAAGGACTCATATGTATGCATGTAAGCAAAACCAATGGACACAGGGCCTGTGTTGGTGGTTGGTGCTGGTGGGGAGAGGTCTGTGAGGAATAAAGGAGACATATGTAATACTTTCAACAATAAAGTATTTAAGTTAAATTTTCTGGAAGCAAATGAAAATGTATACACAATGAACTAAAATCTGTGGGATACAGCAAAACAATCAAGTGGGAAGTACATAGCATTACAGGTCTACTTCAAGAAGCTAAACAAATCTTAAACAATTTACCTCTACACCTAAAATAACTAATACAATAACAAAAACAAAGCCTCGAATAAGTAGAATGAATGAAATAATAAAGAGTAGAGCAAAATAAATGATATAGAAAGTAAAATATAATACAAAAGCTGAAAACAATAGCCGGTTCTTTGACAAGATATACAAGATTAATGAACCTTTAGCCAGACTCATCAAGAAACAAAGAGATAGGAGCCAAATAAATAAAATCAGAAATGAAAGAGGCCATATAACAACTGACAACACAAAAATACAAACAATTTTGGGAAAATACTATGAACAGCTATACGCCAACAAATTGAACAACCTGTGCAAATGGACAAATTCCTAGAAACATATAATCTTCCAAAATTAATTCAGGAAGAATCAGAAAACCTGAATAGACCTATTACAAGTAATGTAATCAAAGTAGGATTGAAAATCATTTCCTAGGAAACAAAAATCCTGAACTGGATGGTTTCATGGGCAAATTTTATCAGTCAAAGAAGAATTAACACCTATTTTCCTCTTACTATTCAAAAAAAATCAGGAGGAGGGAATACTTTCAAGCTCTTTTTACAAGGCCACCATTATCCTAATACCAAAGCCAGATAAAGACACTACAGAGAATGAAAATTATAAGCCAATGTCCCTGATGAACATAGATGCTAAAATCCTCAACAATATACCACCAAATTACACCACACACAAGAATAAACTCAAAAGGGATGAGAGGCTTAAATGTAAGTTGTGAATCCATAAAAAATCCTAGAAGAAACCAAAGACAGCAAAATCTCAGACATCTCCAGCAAACCGGATACAGTAATACATTGAAAAGACCATATACCATGACTGAGTGGGATTTATTTTGGGGGTGCAAGGTTGGTGCAGTATTCACAAAACAATAAATATGATAAATCACATAATGAAAATGAATGATGAAAATGACATGATCATAAAATAGATGCAGAAAAAAACATTCCATAAAATCCAGTACCCATTTATGGTAAACTCTCAGCAAAGTGGGAATTGAAGGATCATATCTCAAAATAATAAAGGCCACATATGAAGGAACTGCAACTAACATCATACTCAATGGGCAAATCCTTAAAGTGTTTTCCTTAAGATCAGGAAGAAGATGGGGATGCCTGCTTTCATCACTCTTATACAACAAAGTACTGGAAGTCTTAGCCACAGTGCTTAGACAAGAAGAAAACATAAATGGCATCAAAATTGGAAATGAAGTAGTGAAGCTGTCATTAACTGCAGATGACATGATATTGTACATAGAAAATCCTAAAGACTCTACCAAAAAAACTACTAGATTTAATAATTGATTTCTGCAAAGTAGTCGGATACAAAATTAATATTAAGAAATGAGTGGCTTTTTTAAATACAACAATGATGAACTATGAGAAATAGAAACTAAGAAAGCCATCCAATTCACTATTGCAAGAAAACAATAAGGTACCTAGAAATAAATTTAACCAAGACATTAAAAGAACTGTATGAAGAAAATAATAAAATATAGAAGAAAGAAAGAAATTGAGGATGATGCAAACAAGTGGAAGCATATACCTTGTTCATACTTTAGGAAAGTTAAGATCATTAAAATGTTCATAATACCCAAAGCAATCTATAGATTCAACACAATTCTTAGAAAAATATCAATGGCCAATGGTGGCCTTGTAAAAAGAGCTTGAAATTATTTCACAGACCTAGAATAAATATTCCATAAATTTATATGAAAACAAAGAAGACCTTGAATAGTCTCAGCAATCTCGAGAAAGAAGAACAAATTTGAGGTATCACAATACCTGATATCAAACTATACTACAAGGCCATTGTCATCAAAACAGCCTGATACTGGCATAGGAACTGGCGTATTGATTATTAATGGAATAAAACATAGAACCCAGAAATTGACCCAAGCTTTTATGTACAATTGATATTTGTCAAAGGAGGCAAGAGCATAAAATGGAGTAAAGACAGTCTTCAATAAATGGTGCTGGGAAAATTGGACAGGTACATACCAAAAAAAAAAAAGTGAAACTAGACCACCAACTTATATCACACACGAGAATAAACTCAAAGTGGAGGAAAGGCTTAAATGTAAGTTGTGAAACCATAAAAATCCTAGAAGAAACCAAAGGCAGCAAAATATCAGACATCTCTAGTAGCAATATGTTTGCCGATACATCTCCTAGGGCAGTGGTCGGCAGACTGCGGCTCTTTGGCCCCTTGAGTGTGGCTCTTCCACAAAATACCACCTGCGGACGCACACATACAGTGCGATTGAAACTTTGTGGCCCATGCGCAGAAGTCGGTATTTTGTGGAAGAGCCACACTCAAGGGGCCAAAGAGCCACATGTGGCTCGCAAGCCGCAGTTTGTCAACCACTGTGACCAAGGGCAAGAGAAACAAAGGTAAACACACACACACACACACACACACACAAATGGGACTACAACAAACTAAAAAATATCTGCACAGCAAAAGAAACTATCAACAAAACGAATCGGGAACCCACTGTATGGGATAGCATATTTGCCAATGATACATCCAATAAAGGTTAATTTGCAAAATATATAAAGAACATACATAACTCAATACAAAGAAGACAAATCAGTCAAGTAAAAAATGGGCAAAGGACCTAAATAGACATTTCTACCAAGAGGACATACAGATGGCCAATAAATATGTGAAAAAAAATGCTCAACATCACTAATCATTTAATGAAAATTAAAACCACAATGAGGTATCACTTCAAACTTACCAGAATGGCTACCATAAATAAATCAATAAAAAAAGGTGCTGGTAAGAATGTGGATAACAGGAAACCCTCATGCACTGTTGGTGAGGATTCAGACTGTGGAATACCAAAACACCATTTTGAAGGAATATATGCACCTCTATGTTCAAATAAGCATTATTTTCTTTTTAAAAATATATTTTTTTATTGACTTCAGAAAGGCAGGGAGAGGGAGAGAGACATAGAAACATCAATGATGAGAGAGAATCATTATTGGTTGCCTCCTGCACGCCCTTCATTGGAGATCAACCTAACAACCCAGGCATGTGCCCTGACTGGGAATCAAACTGTGACCTCCTGGTTCACAGGTCGATGCTCAACCACTGAGCCACGCTGGCCAGGTGAGGCAGCATTATTTTCAATACCCAAGATCTGGAAACAGCCCTAGTGTCCATCATGAGTGGATAAAAATCTGTGGCACATTTACACAATGGAATACTACCTGGTGGTCAAAAAAGAAGGGACTCTTATATTTTGTAGACAGCATGAATGGACCTGGAGATTATGATGTTAAGTGAAATAAAAGTCAAAGAAAGATAAATACCATATGATCTCACTTATATTTGGAATCGAATGAACAAAATAAAATTACAAACAAAACAGAACAAGAGGCGTGGATATATGGAAAAGACTGACAAAGATCAGAAGGGAGAGAGATGGGGGTTATGATTGAAAGAAGGTGAAGAGATTAGCCAAAGAACAAATATGCATAGCCCATGGACACAGACAACATTATGGTGATGGCCAGAGGGAAGTGGGTAGAGGTTGGGTAGAGGAGGACAAAAGGGAGGAAAATAAGGACATCTGTGATAATGTCCACAATAAAAATAAAGTTAAAAAATAATAATAAAGAACTTTCAGGTTGAGAACTTGAGATATTAAGTATAGGGGTGGGCAAAAGTAGGTTTACAGTTATTCATATGGAAAAAGACATGCAGGTTATCCTATCTAATAAAAGAGAAACATGCAAATTGACCATAACCACAACACCCTTCCCATTGGCTAATCAGCATATCCTTATGCAAATTAACTGCCAACAAAGATGGCGGCCGGCAGCCAGGCACTGAAGCGAACAGGAGGCTTGCTTGCTCCAGTGATGGAGGAAGCCAAGGTTCCCCGCCTGCCACTGCCGGCCTCTGAGCTTGCACTCTAAGAAACAATGTTGCAAGTATAGAAGCTAAACCAGCGTGGGCAAACTACTGCCCGCGGGCCGGATCCGGCCCGTTTGAAATGAATAAAACTAAAAAAAAAAAAGACCGTACCCTTTTATGTAATGATGTTTACTTTGAATTTATATTAGTTCACACAAAAACTCCATCCATGCTTTTGTTCCAGCCCTCCGGTCCAGTTTAAGAACCCATTGTGGCCCTCGAGTCAAAAAGTTTGCCCACCCCTGAGCTAAACAAACTCCAGAAAACTGCTTTCAGCCAGCAGGGCTTCAGCCAGCAGGACCGCAAGAGTGTTTCAATTACAGAACCCAAACAAACCCAGTACCTGCTTTCAGCAGCCGTGGTCTCAGAGCTGCAGCCCTGTCAAGAAATACCTGTTACTTTGTGTCTATATCTGTATCAGAATACATATAACTGCTCATACCACATCTTAGGCAAGCCTCTTCTTTTTTTCTGGGCATCACTCTTCATATCCGTGACATGAAGAAGTTCAACTGGATATTCTCTAAAGAGCTCTTTCACTCTGATATTCTGTGAAAAAATAAACCTGGGGTAAGTCAGGCCAATTGTTCTCCATAACAAAGCCAATGGGCTGTTTGCGGGGCTCACGCCATGGCTGTATCCTTCCTTGTTCAAGGAAGAAGAAAATAGTGCCACTGATCATCATTGTTATAATCATGGTACCTATAAACAATTCCTTTGGCTTACTGTGTGAATGTTATGGTGGGGGCGGTTAATGTTTGGTATTGGTACACATACTACCTACTTAATTGTTTCAATTGTAAAACTCAACTTTTACTAAATATCTGTACCCATCAATCTCAATTTATCCCCATATCAATTTACTTAGGATGGTATCTATTTTTATTAACATTTTACCCATGGGAAAACTAAGTGTAAAGTGTTTTGGTAATTTGTCCCAAAGTATAACTTCACTTGTAAAAGTGAAGTGGCCAACACCAGTACTTGGATCCATCTTAATCCAAATCATTTTGCTATTTCATAGTTTCTTTTTAAAATAACTGCCATGAAATAATTGCCATGATAGATAATTTATAAAGATATTTTATAACCATTAACTTAATTTATTGAGTAGAATGTACTCCCTATACTCAAGAAACTTTCAGGCTACTAGAGGCAGCCATGTATGACAAGTACCAAATGAGCAGTACACAATGAGAGTAGAGGAGAGGGAAAGAGCCCTGGAGGGACATTAGGAAAGTATTTCTTTTCTTTTTTTAATGTTTTTTATTTATTTTAGAGGGAGAAGAGGGAAAAGGGAGAGAGAGAATCATCAATGTGAGAGACATGTGCTCTGATTAAGAATAGAACCAGGGACCTCTTGGTTCATGGGACAATGCTCAACCAACTTAGAGCCACACTGGTCATGGCAGAAAATTATTTCTTTAAAGGAGTTCATTGGATTTTGAGGAGGGTTTGAATGGGATAAGACTAAGAGGGTAAACTTTCCAAACAGGAAGAATATCTGAAGTGCAGAGGAATAGGATGCCCAAGGCATGTTTAAGGAATGACTAAATAGATTTAGTTGGGACCAGAAACGTTCAAACATTTGGATAAGTCTAAATGTGGAAGGCCTGGGATGACAGGTTGTTTATATCCGATGAAACCCTCATTTTCAATTATCCTGTGAGGAAGGCTTATGTGGACCATGAAAAAGTCATGTGAATTGCCAAATGCCACATATTCATGGCAGAGCTAAGATTTTACCTTGACTTCTTATCTCTTCATCCATTGTACTTTTCAACCAAATTCAGGGTCCACAGAATTGCCTACTTTAGGGACAGTAGTAAGAAATAATATTTACCAAAGACCAGGCTTTTCAAAAGACCTGGTCAGTAACCCTTAACCTGTCCTTCCTTGGAGGGGTTGGGTGGCTGTGGATCAGCATCACCTTCCCATCTCTTTCTCAGAACAATACACAATATTAAGTTTCTTACTGTCTGATTCCAACTTCAATGGTCACTAGATTCAGTGGGGACTAGGGAGTTCTCCAATGAAATGAGACCCATGAAAAATGGGCAAATTTGGTGCTGATTCTATTAAGGAATCAAATCAGAACATTTTCTTCTGTTTTTCTAAGGCCACATTTTACCTTGATGGCTTTTAAAATAAATGTCAATTTGAAAAATGAGGAAAGCCTCTTTGTTTGTGGCTAAATCCCTCTTAAAGTTCCAGGAGTCATTTTTGTTCATTGCCTCCCTTGTTTTCCATCTTGGCTGCCTAATCTCACTCCCTCTCTTCTCATTCCTTTCCCTCTCCTTGTCTCCAAATTGCCAGAAGGTCGTTTACTAACTCTTTGTTAGTAAACCATAGTCACTGATAAATCACTAGAGTTTGGAGTGCAACACCATAGGGGATTTTTTTAACTATAGGGCTTGTGTGTGTGTTTGGCTACTGATTGACTAAAAAGTATCTTTCCTAAGCCACTGATTGAAGTTTCAGAATAAGCAAATTAAAATGGCCTCATATAATCTGTCCTTAACTTGGAGAGGAACCAAAGAATCAAGCTGTTCTTCTGACACGGATGAAAGGGCCCATCTAAAAAAATATCTGAACCCACTCAAAATTTCAAAAGAACATGACCCAGGGCCCAATCCCTGGGAGATGTCTTCTGCAGAGGCAGCTGTAGAGCTACAGGGAAAATATAAAATTCTTGTACATTTTCATCTAATCCCACGCAGATCTAATCTCATCTTTCAAGAAACGCATGCCTTAATAAAATTCTGTGTAAATATAAAGGGGGAAAAAGCACCTCAAACACAGTTTATGTTTTATTTTTAGCTCAATTAACCCTCAGAGCCATTAACTGGGCTATGGCTTCCGGGCTTCCCTGAAGCAAAGCTCAAAGGCCTTTGAGCCTCCTGTATCAAAGCACCTTGTCTTTCTTCAGTGCTGAAACAATTTAGGGCTTGAATTTTAAGACATAAACCCCAGGGTCCTAATTTTATCTTTTTATATTAGTTGCATAGGTTTACCAAAGCCTTATTTCTTTGGCACTAATCTTGATTTATATGAGGTTCAGAGCCCCGGAAGTACTTTTTAGACAAAATGAACTTTAAAAATTACAAATATGTCCAAAATTATCTTTCTAAACATTTCTTCAGTTATATTTGTGAACTTTAAAACATCAAATTTCTTTTGTATACCTCAGTTCTTTATTATGAAGGGAGAAGAAAAGGTTGGATTACATCAATGGTTCTCAAACTTTGTAGTACATAAGAAACACTGGAGGAGCATGTTAAAAATATACATGCCTAAGCATAAACCATATTGATTCTGATTTATTAGGCCTGGGTATAGCCCTAGAAGCTAAATTGTTAATAAGCTTCTCAGGTGATTTTGATGAGCACCACGGAGCTCATTGCTTTCTAAAAGTCTGTCCATACCTAAAAATCAAGAAATTGTTATTTCCTGAATAAATGTTGACATGCAACTGGACTATTCAGTTTACTAAGAGCCTCAGACACATTACTCAATGCATTGAAATTGGCCAGAGCTTTGAAAACCCTAGCTGATGATAAGGATAGTGACTTAGATGGAAAAAAGATCTCTAAAAGTCAGGAATGAAATGCAGGTCTAGATATGTGAAAAAAAATCAGGCTATAGTATTGTCTCAGACATTTCTACAAATTCTTTTTGAAAAATATTTATTATCCCACTGACATAGAAGTAAAAGTACATGTAACCCTTTTAATCTATGTAAAAAGACTTAGATGAAGGGCACCTAGTAGGATAGAGACAAGGTCTATATTAAAGAATGTCAAGTGTTCTAGTATGGGCTCCTAAATGATGATAGATCTGCATGAGGCTCCTAGTGCCTCTGACCACCACACATCCCAAGATTGCTTGGTAGCATTCTCCACTCTAAACACTGCCAAGTATTCTTAAAATCAAGTTCATTGTATAGACTCTGTGCAAGAATAATAGACCCAAGCCTTTTCCTATAATGCTGCTCTTATCCAGAGTGTTCTCGCCAACACAGTTTATCTCCATGGAAATGCCTTCTTTGGCTCAGCCTGAGGATTAGAATGACTTCATTGCACACACCTGATAAGGGGAGGAGGTATTTACTGTATAAAGAAGATTCTTACTCCAAATAGCAACAGAATCAACAAGAAGCCATGTTTGTTCCTATTATGAAGGACAGCCTTGTAGCCACAGAACTGCTGTCATGAACAGAACCTACAAAGTACCTGTGGCCTCCCTCCTCCCTGCTTCCCTACAAAATCACCAACCTCATTCCACAGGAATGCTTTATATTGCCCCATGTAACAGCACTCTTTTAGATTCAGAGAGCTTTTTTTTCCCTTAAAATATATTTTTATTGATTTCAGAAAGAAGAAGGGAGAGGGAGAAAGAGATAGAAACATCAATGATGAGAAAGAATTATTGATTGGCCACCTCCTGCAAGCTCCCTACTAGGGATTGAGCCCAAAACTGGGCATGTGCCCTGATCTGGAATCAAACCCTGTACTAGTTCATAGGTCAGTGCTCAATCGCTGAGCCATGCAAGCCAAGCCACAGTAGCCTTTTAAAGTTGATTTTAGAGAGAAGAAGGGAAAGATGGAGAGAAAAACATTGATTTTAGAGAGAAACACTAATCAACCACCTCTTGTATGCTCACCCACAACAGGAATCAAACATGCTACCTTTTGGTGTATGGGATGACATTACAACCAACTGAGCAACGATGGCCAGGGCAGAGTAACCTTTATTACATAGAAGATGTATTGGCCTGATCAAGAGTAGACCTTAGTGATAGAAATTAGTCCAATGAGTAGAAGTCATAGGAAGGCAGATTTAGCACAAAATAGAGGGGAAACTATGCAACATTTCACTCAGTGTTCACTTTGTAGTGTCAAGCCCTGTACAATGTATTTTTTTCCATTTGTTACCTTATTTAATTCTTGAGACTACCCTGTTTGACAGATGAAAAGAAAACACCCACATTGGAATTGGGAAAGGTGAAATGATTGACAATAGGTGAGCTGGAAGGAAGCAAAACCAGAATTCAAACCAAGACTTCTCTTATATTTTATTCTAAAATATTTATACCCTTACATTTAAATCTATGACTCATTTTATATTATTGTTTGTATCAGATGTGAAATTCAGGTTGAGGTTCAAAACGAGCCTTTTTAAACATTTAGTGATAAAAGCTCAACTCCTGTTCTAAAATGGAGAAGTTAAAGCACTGATAAGCCAAATTGCTTGGCATAATAATCTTAAGAGTTGCCATCATTGTGGGGGGTGGCAAAGAGGGCTTAGGAATGCTCCTGTGTTTTGAAAGGGAACAATATGTTCAAGATAAAGTGATCTAGCATCTTGGAGTAAATGTCCCTATCTGAACTCTTTTTATATACCCCAAATGAATATAAACATATGTTGACACAAAAACCTGTACATGAATTCTTGTAATACTCCCAACCTGCAAATAACTTGTATTAGTTTCCTAGGGCTGACATAACAAATTACTACAAACTGGTAGGCTTAAAATAACAGAAATGTATTGTGTGGAAACTATTAAGTCTGAAATCAAAGTTTTGGTGGGATTGGTTCCTCCTGAGGTCAGTAAGAGAGAATCTTTTCCATGTCTCTTCCTAGCATCTGGTGATTTGTCAGTCGTCTTTAGCATTCCTTGGCTTACAGATGCCTCACTCCAATCCTCCAGCATCACATTGAATTATCCCTGTATCCTCTTCACATAGTCTTCTCTTTGTGAATGTCTGTTCCTGTGTCTAAATTTCCCTTTTATAAGAGCACCAGTCATATTGGATATGGTCCATGCTAATGATCTCATTTTAATTGATGACCTTGTTAAAGATCCCATTTCCCCAAATAAAGTCACATGCTGAGTTACTTGGAGTTAGCCCTTTAGCATATATTTTCTTGGAAGACACACTTCAAACCATAACACAACTAAAATGTCCTATAACAGACAATTATTAAACAGTCGTGCATACATACCAAAGGATACAAGTACTCAGTAACAAATTAAGTGATTACGGATATAAAAAATTTAAATGGCTATCAAGTGTGTTATCTAAGTGGATTAACATACTGAAAGGTCACACACTATGATTACACTTATATAACATTTTCAAGTAGAAAAAAAATATAGAGATGGAAAATAGAGTAGTGATTTCCAGAGCTTAAGAATGGTGTGTTGCAGATGACTAGGTGTGATTATAAAGAGAGGGAGATTTTTAAAAATATATATATTTTATTGATTTTTTTTACAGAGAAGAGGGGAGAGGGATAGAGAGTTAGAAACATCAATCAGCTGCCTCTTACATGCCCCCTACTGGGGATGTGCCCGCAACCAAGGTACATGCGCTTGACCGGAATCGAACCTGGGACCCTTGAGTCCGCAGGCTGATGCTCTATCCGCTGAGCCAAACCGGTTAGGGCATGAGAGGGAGATTTTTGAGTGATTGTGATTGTAATGATGACTACTTCAATCTACTTGTGATAAAATGGCAAAGATTTATACACATACATTGTGCAAATGTCAGTTTCTTTGTTTTATTGTTGTTTTATATTTATATACAATATAACCATTAGGGGAACCAAGTGAAGGGTACACCAGAACTCCTTATATATTTCTGTGCAACTTTCTGTAAATGTATAATTATTTCAAAATAAAGAGTTTCTGAAAATTTGAAGTGGTTGTCTCCCCGGCCCCCCAAAAAACAAAACAAAACAAACAAAAAACACAAAAAAGCATTCTTCTCCAAAATTTGAAGCCTTTTATTATATATACTAAAAAATTTGTGCACATTAAAAGGGGATTAATTAGAGGAAATATTTTAATATTGCTATTTGCCCTTTTTCTATAATAGAAGTGTCAGAGATGAAAGAAAATTAGTAAAATGTGTATGAAAATCTCCCTCCTGTCAGAGTCTGGGGTGCACCATGGGACCCAGAGTCAAGTCCACGCCCACCCACGTGTGACTCAAAATCGCGCGAGACCCAGACCCAGCCGGCCACACCCCCATTGGGCTAGATCCAGACTTGGCCGGTCCCCCACTTGTCAAGCCCTACTTGGCAGGGTTGCAGCCTCAGGTCCTCTGGCCCAGCGCTGGGAGGGGGCCATAGCTTGAGGTCCTCTGTCAAGCTCTGCCGGGCAGGGGGCACGCCCTGAGGTCCCCCGGCCCGGTGCTGGGGTAGGGGGCATGGCCTGAGGTCCCCTGGCCCAAGCCAGGGTGGGAGGCACACCTTGAAGTCCCCCATCAAGCCCTGCCAGGGTGGGAGGCATGGTCCGAGATCCCCTGTCAAGCCCCACTGGGTGGGGGGGAGCAGCCTCAAGTCTCCTGTCAAGCCCCGCCGGGAGGAGGGCGCAGCCTCAGGTCCCCCATCAAGCTCCGCTGGGTGGGTCGGTGCAGCCTCAGGTCCCCTGGCCCAGTGCCGGGGTGGGGGGCTCAGCCTGAGGTCCCCCATCAAGGCCTGAAGGGTGGGGAGCATGACCTGAGGTCCCCCAGCCTGGCACCAGGGCAAGGGGTGCACCTTGAGGTCCCCTGTCAAGGCCTGCAGGTTGGGGGGGTGCAGCCTGAGGTCCCCTGGCCCAGCACCAGGGCAGCAGGCTCACCTTGAGGTCCCCCGTCAAGTGCCCTGCTGGGTGGGCGGCACGGCCTGAGGTCCCCCAGCCTGGCACCAGAGCGGAGGGAGTGGCCTGAGGTCCCCTGTCAAGCCCCATGGGAGGTATTGGGGGGGGCGCAGCCTCAGGTCCCTGCTGATTGCTCGTTGGAAGGAGGCAGGGGAAGTCGGGGACATTCGAGGAGGGCGTGACGTCAGGGCTGGATTGGAAGGTTAAGATGAAGTTGGCCAACAAGTTAAAAAAGAAAAGATGGAGTTGGCCAGGTGAAGAGAAGGAAAGGAGAAAGCAAGATTGGTCCATTGCTGGAAGCCGGTCCATCCTTGCTGCTTGACACAGTCGCTGCAGGAAAGAAACATCTGCACAGCATATGTTTCAAGGGACCTGGCATATATAGCATATTGTTCTTAATATGTTTGCTCTCCTTAGCGCCATGTGTTTTAACCAAGGTCACCTCTCCGAGAAAGGTTGTTTCCCCAGGTGGGGATTTTTCCCTGAGGTTAGGGAGGGGATACAACCCCTTAACTAAGTGCCAGGCGGGTAGTTAATCACTTTAACTACAAACAATCACGCTTAAGCTACATAATCTTTACTCCCTGGAATGGAGATAAGAAATGCCCTAACCTTTGCAATAGAAATTGACAGGATTAAAATCAACTGGTATAAATACAGATGTAACAAGACAATAAACATCAGATCCTAACCAGAACTTCGCTGGAGATCCCGACCAGAACTTTGGCTGGAGATCCTGGCTAGAGGTCCTGACTAGGCTGCTGATCAACTGAACGCTGTCTCCGTGTCATTCCTTCTTCGTGGACTCCGTCCACACCTTTGGGGACCCCTGGACCTGCTGGGGCTGGACCCCAGCAGGATTTCAGAGAGGAAGTGAGAGGGAGAGAAAGATAAAAACAGCAATTATGAGGGAGAATCATTGATCGGCTGCCTCCTGCATGCCCCCTACTGGGGATTGAGCCCACCACCTGGGCATGCGCCCTTTACCATAACTGAACCCAAGACCCTTCAGTCTACAGGTGGATGGTCTATCGGTTAAGCCAAACCGGCTAGGGCTGAAGTCCTTTTTGTCTGTAAACTACTATTCACAGGAATCCACATTGGCTCTGGTGACCAATAGAGCAGCAGCCCAGTGGCTGACTAGGTGTGAGCAAAGCAGTAGAATGCAACAAATGGGAGACTGTAGTTAACAAAAAAGTGACAACAGCCAGCAGAACTGTATTGGGTGACAGAGCTGCATTGGGACCTGGCAGGAGAAGACCTGTTTGAAAGATCCTTTGAACCACACCTTTAGGATACACAGAAATACCAGTGATATTCATGTGGAGGAGAATATTTTGGACGGATTTGAGGTCTTGTATGAGCCAGTACATGCAAGAGCAGTAAAATGTATACTATAGGTTGGTAAGACCCGAGAGACTAATTATAAATATAATGTACTAAGTCCTATAACAGAGTTAAAATAAAGTGCTATGGAAACTTAGGAGAGGGTGATTAACCAGCATAGGTTGAGAAAGACTTCATGGAAGTACTATTTTATTTGGAAATGTTAGAATTTTCTTAAGCAGAAGAAATAGCTTATACAAAGACAGAGGGATATAAACAAGCATAAGGAGTTAAAACTGGTCTATCAACAGATGATTAGACAAAGAATAAAATAAATTATTTATGTATATGTAATGGAATATCATTCAGTCATATAAAAGGAAAGCCTGAATTTGCGACAGCATATGTGGACCTTGATGGAATTATGCTAAGTGATGTAAGTCAGACAGAGAAAGACAGATACTGTGTGATATCGCTTACGTGTGGAATCTACAAAACAAAATCAAATCACAGATGCAGAGAATAGATTAATGGTTGCCAGAGGTCAGAGGTGTACAAAATGGTAAGGATAGTCAAAAGATATGCACTTCCAAATGTAAGATGAATGAGTCCTATGTATGTAATATAAAGCACGGTGACTATAGTTAACAGTAGGTATATTAAAAGTTGATAAGACAGTATTTTTAATTTAATCTTTATTGTTGAAATTATTACAGATCTCCCATTTTTTTGCTCATAGACCTCCTCTAGCCTGCTCCCACCCCCTTGCTAGGCCTTAACCACACTATTGCCTGTGACCATGAGTTATGCATATATGCATATTAGTTCTTTGGAAATTCATCAGTCTGTTGCATGCTTCAATGTCTCTGGGTCACTTTGGTTCATGAATTTATTTTGTTTATTAGATTCCACATATAAGTGAGATCATGTGATACTTGTCTTTCTCTGACTGGCTTATTTCACTTAGCATAATTCTTTCAAGCTCCCTCCACGCTGTCTCAAAGGGTAAGAGACCCTTCTTTTTTACAGCTGCATGGTATTCAATTGTGTAAATGGATCACAGTTTTTTGTGTTTTTTTTTTTTTTATCCATTCATCTACTGATGGGCACTTGGGCTGTTTCCAGATCTTAGCTATTGTG